GTATATAAACCCAGAAGCTTTAAACAATGTTCAGGCCACGTGTACAATGAAAAAAGAAAAGTACAGTCAAACTATGTGATGAGCATTTTTGATCTGTCCTGTATTACGTCACAACATGGAGATATGCATTTTATGCCAGTGATAATAAGATGTATCCTTGGTAATACTATAGAAATATGCCCTTAAACTGACAAAACAAGCTTTTTTCACACCATTTTGTACAGATACATCCATTTTCTGCATATGGTGACCCCATTTTTTCATTCAATTTTCTTCATCCACAACTGTCACTTATTATTTAAAGATACAATTACATTATTTCTTGAGTAAATTTTCTATGAAGGATAGTTGATGTAACACAAACATGGGTCTGCTACAACAGAATATTGGATAGTCCTAAAATCTGTCATTTTGGAAAATATTATTTCAAGCACACAGTGGAAAAACTATGATCTTTCAGGCAGCAGTCTTTATAATATTTAAACAGGTAACAATGAACCAACATTTTGACATGTATCTTTGAGAATTACATACTATAAGCTGGAATATCCTTGAATAGAAAACAGCTGTGACATTATTGATAACAAAGTTTACAGGGACAATGCTTTATTCTCATACATACATATGTATCAGGTTGTATGGCCGAAGCCTTCATAATTGTATCGATGCAAGCTCTGGTGAATCGCAAAATGACAAATGACCGAAACAGCCGTGTGAGGAATCTCGGGTGACATCGAACAATGAAATATACAGGCATGAAATCACGTTTAGATTAAAGAATAAAAAAAGGAAAATACATGCGTGTATTCTTTGGTGTTTGGTGCTCTGGAAGATTGCATGAATATTTGTATCATTGGTAATCAATTTTGTTACTACACCTTTTACTATATAGCAAAACTGTTATGAATGCTTGTCATTTTGAAAATATATTGCTATAAATACAGAACAATGAAAAAAAATCTACTTTTAATATCAGATTTTTTAATGGAATTTTGTAAGTTTTTCTAATCCCAGTTTAAATTTTTATTGTGCTTGTGTGATGCTTGCCCGGACGAGATTTCACAATATGTGCATTAATATTAGTGTTTTCGCACACGTTGACAGACAGCAGGGGTTCCATTAACAATAAATGGAAATATCAATATTGACATCAGATTACCATGGAAACGACTATTGATAGGTTCAGTAGCAAATATGAATTTAAATAATAATATTTAGTCATAATACCGGTAGTCACAAAATATTATGAGGTTATCACCTGATACCATTTGTTTGTTGGTTCATACGAGTGACGCCACATCACCCAACTATATTAATAAGTAATATCAGGTGATAACTTTTTTTATTTCATGACCAAATAATTAATTAATGAATTTTATGGAACTAGTTAGTGATTAATTTATGTTAATTAGGCATGGCAGTGGATGATTTGCAGAGCTGCATCCTTAATAGAAGCCACACCCATTTTTTTTTGGTAAGATTGCTCTAATTGATGCTCCAATAGAAGTTACCCCCTCTGAGCATTGTGCCATTTTAATATAATGTAAACAGATTTTACAGCAATTATTTTCAAAAATTGGCAGAAATATTACCTTTCTTGGCATTTTTTTTTTAATTAAATTTTCAGTTAGTATTAATCAGTATGAATGATTGTTAATGTACCATGTGAGTATATAAGTGTTGTCAAGTCTGAAGTTCTCGTATAACTGTCATGAAAACGGTACTGTCGAATGATTTAATTTTTTCTGTGTATGTTTCAACACAGATAAAATGATGACGTTAAACGTGAAAATATCATACTAAACATCACAACTGTGAATAAAATGCTTTGTATTCATGTGACATGACATATACATTGTCACAGATCATCAAACACACTCAAATCTGATGTATGCCAATATTTCATAACTTTCAACGATTCAGTTTTGCCCACTAACATTTGGTGCATTTCTTAATTTTTTTCTATAATTTCTTTGTCACTTATAGATCAAATGAACATAATTTTTCCATACATGTCTTTATCATTTTCTTTTATGTGGATTTATTTGTTGTATTGTATGTCACATGTATTTGTACAATTATTTACTAATATTATTTGTATACTTTTTACTACGTTTCTATCATTAAAACAATACAATAAACATGATTTATGTAATATGACATGAAATTCCCAACATTATTACCACATTATTCACGATAAAAAGCTTGCTAACGACTTAATTAGAGCAAGGATAAAAACAATTGTTTCACAATTATCATAAATCACGTTTCTATTTGACATAATACAGTGAAATACTTGCCAAATGGGAATGAAACAGAAGTTTGATTTGCGAAAGCCCGTCTAATTTTATAATAAATTAAATAAACACAATGAAAGCGATATGCCCCTGTATTAGCATACCACGTCCACACTGATAAAATAGTGAGTGAACCGTGCACGGACCATGCATCTTCTGTCTCATTTCGACAAAGTCCGGAACTGTCAACATACACATGTAATACTATACGTACCACACTCGGGTATTACTT